AGAGCTTAGTGAGGTGGTTTGTCATGAAGTGGCAGTCAAGTTGCCAGCCCAGGTGCAACTGACTGAAGGCATGGCTAAGGTGGAGGGTCTGTCTTCAGAGCGGATGTTGGCAGGAGGCTTCAGTTCTTGCTGATGGCTGACAATCACGTGGCCTTTTCTGTACTACTGCCTCTGAGTGTCTTTATGACACGTGGCTTCCCCTAGAGCTGGTTATCTGAGAGAGAGGAAGCGGGAGAGGGAGAGAGCAGAGAGGAAGCTGCAATGTCTTTTATTGCCTACTCTTAGAAGCCATACAATATCACTTCTGCCACATCCGGTTTACTAGAAAAAAGTTGTCAAATCTGGTTCACATTCAAAGCGTGAGTAATTAAGTATCATCTTTGTAGGAGAAATGTCAAATAATATACAAGCATATTTAAAAGCTACTACTACATGATCAGCTGAATCAAAGTAAATGGGATTGATGGTAAGAGAGAACTCCATGATAATATCACTTTTTTTTTTTCTGGGAGAAAAGAAAGACAATGTGGAATCTGTATTTGTTGACATTTTGAAGAGTGGGAATATACATCTATCCAGTGGCTGTCTCAAGAGCACTGCCCAGGGAGTCTTAAAAAATTGGAGTTGATTCTTTGATTTTCAGGACATTGGATGCACCAAGGGAAGATAGATGTCTTGCAATATTTAGGACAGTTCTGTAGAGCAAGACTGACTGTAATTCCTGCCTGACTTTCCTATGTCCCACTGATGTAGGACTTGTTTTTAAATATTTGAACATAGAACTTCTGTTTTAAAATTACACAAGATTTTTGCAGGATCTTAATAGATACCAAGGAAATGTGAAAGAAGATTCTGCTTTTTTGTTAGAATTTACTACATTTAGGAAAATCATACCATTTACAGAACCATTTGTACTGTTTGATTTTTCATTATAATATGTCTACCTCCTCCTGCAACTGTAGCTGTTGTATTTACAGTGATTCTACCTGTAGGTGTAAACACCTGACACCTTCACTGTCTTCTAGTTTGGTCACACTGGAGCTTTTGCATACTGATGTGCATACTGTTTAATTATTAAAAAAATTGGTTCTTATTTCTCATTTATATTACAATAAGGGAATTGTATTGAATTTTTTAAAATTATCTGTGCATATTATATTATCAGGGACTATTATTTCAATATTGTAAAATATGCTATGAAAATGTTGTGTTGGGCATTATGGTCTTGAGTATTACAGCCACACAGATCAATGATATTATGGCACCTCACATAAGAAGTTCTTGACATTTGTGGGGAATGTTCTAGAACAGATCTATACAGGATAGATCTGTGATTACTATGTGTAATGTTAAATTTTCTACTGGCCACATTTAAGGGTGTAAAAAACAGGTGAGAAACAGGTGAGACAAACCAGGTGATACATGCTTAATCCCAACTACTTAGGAGTCTGAGCCAAGAGGGTTTCAAGTTCAAGACCAGCCTTGGCAATTTAGACTCTATCTCAAAATAAACTATAAAAAGGGCTGGGATTGCCGGGCGGTGATGCACACCTATAATCCCAGCAGCTCAGGAGGCTGAGACAGTAGAATCATGGATTCAAGGCTAGCCTCAGCAATAGCAAGGAGCTAAACAAATCAGTGAGACCCTGTCTCTAAATAAAATACAAATAGGGCTGGGGATGTGGCTCAGTGGTTGAGTGTCTCTGAGTTCAATCCCCAATACAAAAAAAAGGGTGGGGGGAGCTGGGGCTATAGTTTAGTAGTAGAGCCCTTGCCTAGCATGTGCAAGGTTTTCGATTTAATCATCCCAGCACCACAAGAAAGGAAAATAAATAAGAAGGAAGGAAGAGTATAAAAGAAATAGGTGAAATTGATTTTCTTAATAATTAATAATGTTTTAATAAATATGATTTCAAATTAAATCAATATAAAAAATATCTAGATATTCTTTTAATTGTTGTTCATACTATCTTTTAAAATATGGCATATATTTTGCTCCTTAGACTAGGGGCTAGTAGCTACCATTTTGGATAGCACCATTCTAAATGTTCCATGAATAAAGAAATTCCAAGAAAGGGAATAAACTGCGAGAAGCCCCTTACTTCATGAACAGGGGCAAAATAATTGCTGCTGGTTCATCTCTTTTTCCTCATCTTTTTTGCAGCTCTCAGCTCAAAGTCTTGATGTACCAGATCAAACACACACCATCTGTAGCACAGCTTCCATGCCAGAGGCTGTGTGGAGAGGGGGTAGAAGCAGTTCAGTAAATATGACCACCTGTCACAATTCAAAACCGGAAAGTCAAGGAGAATTTTTCCCTTGACATTTCTATCTCCTCTCCTCCTCTGTCCCCTGATCTCTGCCGAAACACCATTCTCTCTATACAAGAACAAAGCTCTCCTCCCACAAGGACAAAGTTTCCAAAACTGCCTGTGTCCTCTCCTTTCCTATGTTATGTATCCAGCATTTTGCTGACATCCTGGTTCCTTACATTAACAAGCTCATACCCAAACTGTCCTTTAGTAGGCAGCAGAGTTACCACTGTAGTCTTGTGGTTAAAACTCTGAGCCTTAGAAAATAAGACACCAAAGTTTATGCCGTGTTTATATTCCTTAAAAACCATGGAATTTTGATAAATAAACTGAATCACAATTATCTGTAAAATTTAGGTAAAAATAATATCCACCTCTAGGGTGGTTGTGAGACTCATAATGTGAGTCCAAGGAGACAGTGTAACAAACACGGCATAGCCCTGGCACACCATGCATAATGAATAAGTTCAAGCTCTCACTATTCCATGATTTCCTCACTTTTTTCCCACTCCCAGCTACATGTCCAAATCCTAACCTTTTTCAGTCTTTCTCAAGCTCCCCTTCTTCTGGAAACCTACAAACTTTATTCTCCTCTTTCCATGCCTTTCTTATGAACTCTGACATAAACTTATGCAGATACTGACTTCTGATAGAGTATACATGATGATCATTTAGAAAATTCTTGAATTGATTGGTCATGGAAAAGTGAAAGAAAACTATGGCAGAGGATTGCAGATATCAGGCCCCCCTTCCCCTTGACTTAGAGGTTTGTCTTCAATTATGGGGGACAGCTTTACTATGACCCTTCAAAGGTAGTTTCCATACAGTGTCACGGTTTCCAGAGGCACAGAGCCATAGCTGGCCACTATAGTGACCCATTAGCATGCCCTTTATTGGCTTAATACCTTCCCTGAATGCCTTCCTTTGTGACTTTTTAAGCTTCTTGGAATTACCTCCAAATAAACTACCTGTAATCAAAGTCCTTCTTTATGATTTTGTTTATGAGGAAATCCAAAAGACAAGAACTGACATTAACTGAGTCTATGTGGGATGCTGAGCTCCATGTTAGGTATTCTACTTCCATTTTCTTCTTTCATATTCTCAACATTCTTATTGAATGGTATTTTATATCCATTTTTCAAATAACTTTTAAAGCCAAGACTCCAAATAAGTGATTTGTTCAGGGTTATAGATAATAAGTAGCAAACTTAGTCATCTAAATGCTGCTTTAGGTGCCTATTTCTGAATTAATAATTCTTCAGAATGAATAGAACATTTTAGGATAAAGCTAAAAGAAACACATTATAAAAAGGAGAGATAAAATTACATCACTGTCTTAGGTTTAGCCAAAATGTGACAAACTAAAATATAGAAACAGACTATAATAAAATAGTGTCTGGAGACATTGTGCTTTGAACACATAGATGTCATTTAAATGCCATATTTATAGTCCAGTTTCATTATTCTGGGAAATAATGATGGGAAGATATGACAGCAGAGAGCCACCCGAATGAGTCAGATTTCATAAGAAGGTATTAGAAGATGAAACTGATTTGGCCTCTATGACATTGGAGAAAGAATTAGACAAAGGAGACTTTTCTGAGTATTTAGATACTGAACAGAAAGCCTTGGACTGATGAGAAAAAAATAGGGAGAAAAATTCCTCTTCCATATTAAAATTCAGAATTGATTTTTTTTATCTTCCCAAGTCACACAGGCCACATACATAAGTATGATTGAATTATAACGTGAACTGTCAAATCCAATAAATGTGGGTAAAGAGATAGCTGGGCAAATGTTAAAGGAAGCAAAGGACAAAGATGTGTTTTCCACCGCAGAAGCAAGCATTATATGACCAATGGATTTCCTAGAATTTTAAAAAGTGTATTAATCAAACTGGAGAAGTTAGAAAATTTTAGTTAGAACTAGGGACTATTACCCTGTTTAGCTGATGGATATTACTTTCTGTGGTGATAAAATCTAGAGCTAAATCAAGTCAATGATTCTTAAAAAAAAATGGTGATGAGTTTTTATGAGGGTAGAATTCAGTAACATCATAAAAACTAGAATCAAATCCTCAATTTTGAAGTTTGAGAAGACTTCATATTTATATCAAGCTTTGAAGTCATTAGACAAAAATGCATGGTAAATCTTTATTCTGTGTTGCCTCTGTTGTTGATTCTGTTTGCCTTGAAATGTCACTTAAAATCACAGGGAACCAGTCAATTTGAACCGGGCATTGTAGTTTCATTCCTTTAAATTTTAAAGTGGTTTTCACTTATGTACAACCCAAACGCATTACATCATATTATTTACTTTAGATTATTAGCTCTGCTATGAAGTCATGTAGTTTTGAACCCTGGAAAAAGTATTTTCTAGCCAAGTAAGCTTTTGTACTGTGCCCTCTAGTTCACATTTTAATAAATGTCATTTTCTAAGTGCATTACCTCATGTTTTGGCTCCAGCCCAGATAAATCCTGAGAGAATAAGAGAAATGTGCTTTCTGACTGATTCATCCATATTTTATTTTACTTTTCATTAAGAAATTACTCTTTGAAGAAAATCAATAATCTTTTGTGACTGAGGGGCAAGGTTAGCATGTTGCGGTGGTACATTCTAATATCTCAAAGCAGACTGCCGTTGCCCAGCTATTGCTGATAGAATTTCTGTTCTTTCTTATTCCTGCAGCCTGGGTACACGGCGACCCCAGGAGAGTGGCCTATCCTACAGACAGCAAGGGCCACTTTTGTGGCCAGAAGGGCACCCCCAATGAGTGAGTATGGTCACTTTTGCTTTGTGTGGTATCACTGTCTAAGCTGGAACCTAGAAATTGCTTTTATACTAATCCTCCTAGACTGCTTAGGGAGACTGAAATTCATGAAGGAGGCTTTCCCCACCCCTTTTCCTACAGACAGCTATAAGCTGTTGGGAAGTTCAATACTAAATGACTTAAGATGCCATGTCATTGTCATGTAGCATTTTAGTAGAATGCATGAAGGCTCTGCTTTGTGAAAATATAGTTCTTAAAGATGGATAAGACCAGTAATTTTTTCAGTAGCCATATTTTAAATGCTTTATGAGATGGGCTATTGGAAGACCTAGTCCTGAGTATGCCTAAAAGTTAGAAGTTACCATAGTTTAAATTTTGTCACAGCACCCACAGATGAATCATTCCGCCTTTCAAAGGTAAGGGCACACCCAGATGATCTTGGATGCTTGGTCTTTTCATGAGAACTTGGCTCCTGTGGACATTGCCCCAGAGTAGCTGAGCAAAACACTGCCTTTAGATTGTAAATCAGAACAGATATTTTCACTTCTGAAAACAAGTTTTATATTTCTTCACCTAAAAAAAAACAAATAAAACCCCATAAATCTCACATTTTTAGAAAACATTCCCTCATTTATCATGCATCTATTTCTTTGCTTTCACTGCCTGAGGTTGTTGCTAAATCTCCTGGGTCTTCATAACCAATTCAGTTCCTATAAAAGCTGATTTGAGGTGGAGGTGGAGGTGGACGTGGACGTGGAGGTGGAGGAGAAGGAGAAGGAGAAGGAGAAGGAGGAAAAATAGGTTCCCCAACACTTCCACCACCAAAACGCCTGTTTCAGAAGACTTGAGTTTGTTCTCTTGCTGCCCACCCCTAACCATGAGCTTATTATTTCAGGAGATACACATATTTTTAAGAAATTAACAAAATTTATGAGTAAAATTCTTATTGAGCAATAAGAAAACTCAGAAATTTGGAGAAGTCAGAGACAAATCTTTAATTATGTCAGGTCGAGTTTACAGGGACAAGTTTACTCCCAGGAAAGAATTTCTCCCTATTAGGGACAACTGGAGTAAATTCTGAATCAGGGTGGCAATTCTTATTTTAACCTCAGTAACTTAGAAAATCTTAGACTTTGCCAACAAAACCCTCATACTATGAAGGACAAAGAAAGCACCAGGTGGTAAAAAGAAAAAAAAAATCAAACAAATCTCTAAATCTTTAGTTCTTTAAAACACTATTTTTGAAAGGGTTTTTGTAACAATAAGTTTTCTAGACCTGAGCAATGACCCACTTAGTTTGAATGAAAATGTGACACCACAAATTTCGGGACATACAGATTATTCAAAGACAGTCCTTGCTTAATGCACAGACATGCTCATTGAAGTATTATTTATAATAATACACTGACAACTGAACATATCTTCAACCACCTGTGGATACTAAATGATAGCCCATCTATTTAATAAAATGTAATCAAGCCAGTGGAGATTATATTTCTATTTTCAATAGTCAATTCTATTGATGTTTCCTTATAGTTTCTGAAGTTTATCATGATTGTATTGTTTTCCTCCTCCCTCAAAATAACATTCTCCTATATTTCACTAGTATTTTTATAATTTTCTTTTATATATTTAAATTTCCTTCAAAATAAACACGAAGCACTAAAGATTTTGTATATACAATGTAATTCAGAAAAGTAACAACAGAAAATGTAGGGTATATTTATAGAATTATGAAGTAAAACAACCTTTCTTAAACATAATGCTAAAATCCCCCAAATGAGCAATTTTAAGGAATATTACCACACAAAGTAAGTTACCTTAAGTCACTGCCAAACAAAGTTACAATCTAGATAAGAGGCAATCCAACAAAAATAAATATTTCAAGCAAATATTCCTGACTAAAAATCAAACTTAAGGATATGAGCTGCTACTAGAAGATCAAAAAGGAAAAGATGATTGATCATCTAATATAAAAAGAGGCAAAAACCATAAATGGGAAATAACGTAACAAACCATAACAGTAGAAACTGCTGTTGAAGTACAGAAAGGAAAGAAAACAAACTAATGGATATAATATTTTTTGAGTATTAGAATGCCAGATATTTAAAAGATTAAAATTTCCAGTGTTGGCTAGAGTGAGGAGAAATAAGCACCTCATTTGCTACACGTGGTAGCATGATATAATATTGCCACAGTCCGGCTGCAGCAAACTAACTGGGGGGTGACGAACAACTTGTGTACATTGATACAGCAGGAGTAGGAGCCGTTTATTGTAGGACAGGAGGGGTATATATACATTACACACAGCTCATCTTAATTAACATAAACTAGATACAGCAGTCAACCAATAAGGAATCTCCACACTTAATGGCTCGCTGGCATTACTTCACAAACCACTCCCTCTGGTAAAATGCCAGGCGCCATCTTGACTTGTTTACAGACCCTAACATAATATCAAAATTTTTCAAATATTATCAAACATATATGCTGTTGTTGATTCTCCTAGAAACTTATCTCATGGAAATTTGAATACATTTCCTACTATAATAGGTGCTGTGTTACTCAGCTTTCCATTGCTCTCACAATGGAAAGGTTTATTTGGGCTGATAGTTTCAGAAGTTTCACTTGATGGTCACTTGGTCCAGTTGCTGTGGACCTGAGGTGGCACAGTACATCATGGTGGGACACTTGGCCGAGGAGGCATCTTCACCTCAAGGCAACAGGGAAGCAGAAAGAGAGAGAGACAAGAAGAGGGCCAGGGTTCCAATATGCCCTTCAAGGGTGCTCCCTCAATGACCTACCTTCCTCCAACTAGAACCCACCTCTTAAAGGTTCCAGTAGCTCCCATTAGCCCCACAGACTAGGGACCTAAGCTTTAACACATGACTTGGGGAAGCACTCGAAACCAAAGAAAACGGAAAGAACTTAAATGTCCATCAATAGGAGATTGAGTAAACAAATTATGATATAGTCATATAATAACATACCATTTAATCTTTAAGAAAATGTCGCACAGAAATATATTTTTGGCATGGAAATGTGCCTATGATATATTGTTAATTCAAAAAATTAAGTTATTTAAAATGGAGCATGAGCAGGGCATAGTGATACATACCTGTAATCCCAGCGTTGGGAGGCTGAGGCAGGAGGATCGTAAATACAAGGCCAGCCTCAGCAACTTAACGAGGTACTTAGCAACTCAGTGAGACCCTACTTCAAAATAAAAAATTTTAAAAATTAAATTTAAAAAATAGAGTACAAGTATAATTTTGTTTTGTGGGCATGTTTATGTACTGGTACATCTTATAGTCACAGATATAAAAACACCTATATGTGCAAGGAAAAAAGTTTGAAAGGATACACATATGCTTTACAGTAATTATTTCTAAGCAAAAGGTGTTATTTTTTATTTTTATTCACATATTCATTGAGCCCCTGTTTTGTCCCAGACGGTCTTCTAAAGGAGGAGGTTAGATTGCACACAGCGGACAAACCATCTGTTCTCATGAAACTTACATTTCAGTGAAAGAATAATTGGAGATAGAGATGTAAATAAACAAGATAATTTCAAATAGTGATAAGGAAACAAAACAGGAAGCCTGATGGAGAGTGACTGGTGTTCCGTGAAAGGGAGGTCCCTCATGGCTGCCCCTTTGGGTGAGGGCTTTGATGAGGGTTGTACTTTTCAACTGAGATAGGAAGACTAGAAAAGGTGCCAGTCTTACAAAAGCTCTGGGAAGAGCTTTTAAGCCAGAGGCAAGAGGAGATGCAAAGGTCCTGAGGCATGTGATTCTCCAGGAGTAGAAAGAAGTCCAAGAAGCTGGAATATAGCAAACAAAGAGGCAGGACTTAAGCAGACATGTGAGAAACAGGAAGGACCAGATTTGTGGTTCCTACACACTCTGCCAAAGTATTTAGATTATTTATAAATGTGGGGAAGGACATGGAAAAATGTTCAGCACAAGAGTAATGGAATCCATTTTACGTTGTTAAAAGACTATTCTTCTTTTTTTTTTTCCCATAGTGAACTGTTTCAATTGTTCACAATAAGCATGCATGCAGAAAAATATAAGCTTTCCATTTTTTCTTTTTTGAAAAAAAATAATGAAATGGGATGTATTAATGAAATATAATTATAGGTATAATTCTATAATTATGAAACAAAGGTATGAGTAAGTTTTATTTCCTTACTTATGTGCTTATATGCATTGTAATTTTCTACCAAAAAAAATATATATTACTTTTATATCCCCTTTCAAATTTTCTAAAAATCAAGATTTTTTAAAAAGGTATATAAGCTGAGTCAATGAATAACTTAGCTATTAAAGTCCTTTCTGTAAAAAATAAAGTACGAAAAGAAAGTGTTGTCAGAATACATACCCTGCAGTCAATCCTGATTTTGCCTTTGAGCATTGACATTTGGGCCTGGGACACATGCTACCAGGCCTTAATTTCCCTATAATGATGCAAAAGTTAAACGAGGACAGTAATTTAGAAGAAACTGGCACCGTCATACCTGTTTGCAAAGCACTTCTATATTCCATACCACATCATTTGTTAATGTCCTCCGATTTCAATATTCTAGGCTTTCGATATCCAGTAAATAAGATCCTCTTATATTGTTAATCTTCGAGAATCTCCAGGTTTTCAGAGATAGTCAGTGAAGCCACAGATTCCACTGCAGTGTGTTCAGGGCAGCACCTAATTTTAAAACAAAGCGTGATGCTTTTGTCCCCAGTGAAGCAGCCACACACACACACCAGTTGGTCTTGGGCACAAGATCCCGACTTACTGGCATGGGTACTTATTGCTCCCTGAATTTATGCTGATTACTAACTTGTTGATTTTGCCAAACTCTCTCTACTGGGCCCATGGTTCTTTGAGGTGAGGAACACCTCACCTCTGTCTTTCTCATTGCTGTGTCTTCATCACCGACTCCCCGGCATTGTAGTAGGTACTCACAAAGTTCATTACTAAATGAATGAAAACAAAGGGGCCAC